TTTTTTACTTAATATAATTGTAATTTTCTTTTTTGTTAGTTCTTTCAGGAATTTAAAAACATTTTATATAATATCACACAATGGAAGTCCAAACTAATGAAATTCAACATAAAACATTGTCAATCACCTTCAAACAAACGAAAAATTGAGAATAATACGCAACACAGATCATAAGGTACGAGGTATATCCAAGAAATAACGAGAATTTTTGTTATTTGAAAGCAATATTCGTCTACATTAATGTTGCAGCTTTCAAAATGCCCAACATCAGATATTATACACTTATGCCAGCGCTTATTTCAATCCTCGAAACACCTCTCAAACTTAATGGAATAGCCTTTAGCTCTTTCAGCAATGCGCATCAATATGATCTATGCTTATGAAACGACGACCCTTTGAAGTTCTATTTATTTTTGGAAAAAGGAGAAAGTCACACGCAGTCATGTCTGGTGAACATGGAGACGGGGGCATCGTAACGGTATTGTTTTTAGCCAAAAATTCACGAAATAGCAACAAAGTGTGAGAAGGTGGATTATGGTTGTGCAAAAGCTATGAATTACTTTTCCACAAATCCGGGCCTTTTTTCGGATCATCGGCGATCATTCATAACCATTTTTTCATGGGTTGTTGATGTTCTGGGGCATTAGTCATCTTCAACTTCTTCACGGCCATCTTGAAAAGGCTCATACCATTTGTGAACCTTTTTTTTACTCATAACAAACTTACCATAGGTCTTTGTTAACATTTCACACACTTTATTACAATTCATTTTATTTTTTACGCAAAATTTTATACAAATTCTTTGTTCCATTTGTTTTAACTAACGAAAATTGTCGAGCACTCAAAAATGGGGGTATGTATACCAACATAATAAAAAAATGTCAATCAGACTTTTCAAACACATGAAAAGTAAAATCCCGTTATTTGTTGAAAACACCTCGTGAATGCATGTTTGACAGATTGTGGAAATTGTTGAGACCAGTATATTTCCAGTTTTGAATGGCATAACCTCAACTATATTTTCGCTATATTTCGGAGGCTGAAATTTTGTATACCTATAGGTTGTATGTTGTAGATGTGCAATAAAAAAGGATTTTGAAATATTCCAACTGGAGCGCCAACCGCTGGGAACTAATAGTGGTACAGTTGCACCTATAGAAAGAATAAAAGGGGGAGCTTGGGAAAATGAATATTGTGCATAATATCATTAAAAACAATCGAGAACCATAATTAAGAAAAAGTAAGGAAATGGTAATATATAACTTCGTATCTTGTTTTATCACAAGAAACTACGAATTAATAATACACTACCAAAAAATGTTGCAATAAGAATGTTTGCTTCTATTATTAATGTACTACTTTTATTAATTGAAAAAAAATTTTGAAAAAAAGGGCAAGAGAGAGATTACATTTCGCTACATTGAAAGGAAAATTAATCAGACGGATGACTTTCTTTGAATGAAATCAGAAGCCTCAAGATGTGATTGGAGTGCGGATCTCCAAATATTGAGCAATATTCTAAAAAATGAGCTTCATAAATAAAGCACTAGAAGTGACTGAGGCTTATATACCTTCCCTGTTAAAACGTTTTAGGGTTGCAAGTAAATAAAAAAATAATAAAAAGTACTTAAGTGGAATGAGAAAGTACCTTGGAGAAGAAGCAATTGATGTAAGATTTGAGGGAGAGAAAGCTAGACTCAGAAAAGGGGTGAAATAAAAAAACTTTTATCCCAATAGGTATACTGTTAAATACTTATAAGCATGATTTTGAGGTTCACATATTCGAAATATCTTGGAGTAGTATTTTACATAAGAAACTTGATAACAGTAAAATTTGCAAGAACTCATCTTACACGATTTATCAATAATGAGGAGACACTTATTCTGGATGTATTCGGGTTATTTGCTGCCCCTGTTATTATTTCCGTCATATGTAGAAATATAAAGATAACGTATTACACAGATACGTGTTTATCATTGCATTGAATAATCTTGAAGGTCAAGTAAATGATCCCCCATTTGCATGGGGCAGAAAACGTGGAATCTTCCAGCATTGTAAAACTAGCAAAAAATATAAGTTAGGACAATAATTTGCATTTCGTTAGTCATCATTATTATCAATATTTTCATACATATGTGCCAAGGTTTTTAATTTGGCAGTATTTTAATCAAGTGCGCAGGTACTTAATACCATATACTTACTTAACTGGTACTCGTCCTGCATAATGAATCGAACATGCACATGACAAGACCTCGGGTTAAAACAGACTTCCAACTGTTTATTACTTTTTCAATTACTTACTATGTGAAGATTCAATAATATCCCACATATCTATAAATACATTGATTTCTCGGTATATATTAAACACATCCATTATGTTTCGCTTTGCCCTCTTCCATGAAAAATACATGAGTAAACATTGAATAAGCAACAAATGTCGTGGCTGATATTTTTAGGACGGTTAGTATTTAAAGTTTGAGAGATTATAATCCACCATTTTGAAACGGTAATTGGACGTCTACAGCGAATATCTTGCGATTCATTTGAGGCCAGCTATTTCTAAAATCTGTACAAGGAGTAATGATAATAATAAATTATGAAGTTTTTTATAAAATATTGTGAATAGATAACGAATTTTTCTTGGCTCGTAAATGTTTTGAATTTTTCGAAAAATCTGTCTTCCACCCAGAACAACGTCTCATTTCTGACAAAAGGGTGTTGTTATAGTGAAAAAAATATTTGAGTATTTAGTTCACCATTCGACATCCAGAACTGATTACAGATTCAGATAAATATGTATGATACAAAAACACTTCCTATAATCGATTCGAATATAGTTGCAAAAGATAAACAAATAATATGAATTGTGAATGAGCACAGATCTACACTGTAGGTGGATATGAAATTACTAATCAAGGATCTAATGCATGCAGATTCACAACGAAAATCATCTACATATGGAGTGGTACAAGGAAGCGATATTTCAAATAGGCATCTGAGTTCAATCAGATGTGCGCAATGGGTTTGACCAATCTAGACAGTAATTGCTCAAGTGGTACATCAATATTTCATCAAACTCCATTATCATATTTGAAACTAACGTGCTCCAGAAAAATTGCCTATGTATTGTCTAATCCATGTATTTATATTGAAACCAACATTCTATATAATACATCTGCATCAAACTTTTATTTCAGAAGCTTTTTAGAGGAGAAAGTTATTTTGGTGTTGCTCAACCATCTAGAATTAATTAAACCCAAGTTCTGTTGCCACTATGTACAATATTTATTCGAGAGGTGAATCAAAAATAATGTCTAAACCTCAAATCAATTGTTCTTCAGAGACTAGGTCCGATCATGCTATAAAATAAATAACTGGTGACTTTTTACGATGGAAATATTGCACTTTATCTGCTTTGGAAACTGATTGGCTTATCACCAGTTATTGAAGTTGTCGACATCTCTTTCAAGATTCTTATAGTCATTTAGTGATATCATCTGCCGAAAAACTTCATTCATCTCCTTACAAAACAATTCCTATTGATGAAATTAGTCATGGTCTACTAGCCTGTCGAAAGCCTTGGAGAAGCCTGTGTGAATAAATAACATCCACCATGAAGATACATCCAATGCAGTAGATATACACTGAGAATTACAACAGATTTTTCACTGTTGACAAGCTTTTAAGAAAATCCACGCTGTCAACCAATTCATGTTTGACGTATCGTATGCATATACTACATCATATACAATCAGTTCAAAAAGTTTACTGTTGAAAAGTATTACAATTAGTATACAGTTTTCAATTATGGTTCTGTCATCTTTTTGATCATCTAAGTTTCTAACGCCCTCCACCCTTTGTTCTCAGTTTGCATGCCAAGGTCAGACGTGGACTATAATAGAATTTTTATCCGGAATTCTATATGTAAAACGTAAGCCATTTTGTGCAGAAAATTACAATCGATTCAAAGTTGGATACCGGGGTTCAGCTACCTGCTCTTTCTTTGTTGAAATAGATGCATGGAAAATTCTATTCCAAATTCTAACCACAAATTTAGGGATGAGAGATAGTTTGAGGTATTTTTGGAGTTTTGAATTTTTTAAATAATGTTTCGTAGAGGAAGAAATATAGAAAAGTGTTCTTTCTGGTAAATTGCTGTTAAATTTTGTTCAATGGTGGCAGAACTCGTTCAAAATATAATATTTTTGGTTATATGAATATTCGTAATACACCGAGTCCATGGACTACTCCATGCATTATTTCATTGAATATTTCTGATTATCTAACAGTTAGAAAGGCATGCCAAATTCTTCATAAATGAATTTATTGATCTTGATTCACTATAAACCTGCCTTGAAAGCTATACGCAATCTTTATTGTTTCAACTAGGCGACATGATTTCTTCGATATTTTGTTGTGAAACGTCAGTAGCTCTATAAATTTTTCGATATTTTGGTAAATCATTCGTGTCGAATTGAGAATGAAATTATTCTTTAAAAGTTGCTGGGACTGATTATGTTGCCCACAATCATGTCATTACATTTGTAGAGTGTATTGTCTCAGATGTCCATTCTTGCGTTATGTAACAATTATTCTGAAGTTGAGAAATCAAAATTCATACCGTAAATTAATTAAAGAGTAGTAATGATTAGGTCGAGTGAAAGTCTACGTAATGAGTATAATTTAGTTCACGTATATTTGAAAACACAAAGATTTTGTATTTGAGGTCAAAACTCCATTGAACTCTAATGGTTTATTGAAAATTAACGTACATATTGGACGTCGATACTTTCTATAAATCGATAAACGGTGGGTGTATGGAAAAAGTAGAGGTTGAAACATTGTGACTTTCAAATGAAGTGGCGAAGATTGAAAATTTATTCACCAGGTCTCCTTGAACAGTTGAAAAACGCCATTGAGTAAATTACCTAATTTTTTCTCATTTTTTCAGCTTGCATTGCGATTTGCTTGTTCGCTAATATGAGATTTGTTTCTGAAGGTTCCTCTCACAGCGATAAAGAGGTGGACCCGAATACTCCAGAAAAGGTACCTAGGACGCCGAGCGAGCGGAAAAGAAAACGGAAAGTGGAAGACAGTGGCGGAGCGCCGGCCGTGAAAGGGGGCGTTCGGAATTCATCTACCGATAAGAAAATCAACGAGTATTTCAAGCATTCGGGTAATAGTCATAGTCCTATTAGACACGGGGGTGCGAAAAGCCCCTCCCCTCAGCAACCCTATCCGATGGTAAGTTGATCTTTATGAATGAGTTGTTAACAAAATAATCGCAGTTCAGTATTTCGAATATTTTCTTTTTTAACTCTGCAATGTTTTGACATCTAAGAAAGATCAAATTTTTTAAGCTCGGACTCAAAAACATATTTAAATTGGGAAGCGAAAACTACTTAGGAGAAATAGATAGAAGTTTCCCACATTTTTTGTTGAAAGGCGGAGAAGTAGAAGAAAAGCCAAAATGTTTTTTTCTCAAAGCATTTGACCCAAAACTCATCCTGTCTTCCACCCAGAACAACGTCTCATTTCTGACAAAAGGGTGTTGTTATAGTGAAAAAAATATTTGAGTATTTAGTTCACCATTCGACATCCAGAACTGATTACAGATTCAGATAAATATGTATGATACAAAAACACTTCCTATAATCGATTCGAATATAGTTGCAAAAGATAAACAAATAATATGAATTGTGAATGAGCACAGATCTACACTGTAGGTGGATATGAAATTACTAATCAAGGATCTAATGCATGCAGATTCACAACGAAAATCATCTACATATGGAGTGGTACAAGGAAGCGATATTTCAAATAGGCATCTGAGTTCAATCAGATGTGCGCAATGGGTTTGACCAATCTAGACAGTAATTGCTCAAGTGGTACATCAATATTTCATCAAACTCCATTATCATATTTGAAACTAACGTGCTCCAGAAAAATTGCCTATGTATTGTCTAATCCATGTATTTATATTGAAACCAACATTCTATATAATACATCTGCATCAAACTTTTATTTCAGAAGCTTTTTAGAGGAGAAAGTTATTTTGGTGTTGCTCAACCATCTAGAATTAATTAAACCCAAGTTCTGTTGCCACTATGTACAATATTTATTCGAGAGGTGAATCAAAAATAATGTCTAAACCTCAAATCAATTGTTCTTCAGAGACTAGGTCCGATCATGCTATAAAATAAATAACTGGTGACTTTTTACGATGGAAATATTGCACTTTATCTGCTTTGGAAACTGATTGGCTTATCACCAGTTATTGAAGTTGTCGACATCTCTTTCAAGATTCTTATAGTCATTTAGTGATATCATCTGCCGAAAAACTTCACATTCATCTCCTTACAAAACAATTCCTATTGATGAAATTAGTCATGGTCTACTAGCCTGTCGAAAGCCTTGGAGAAGCCTGTGTGAATAAATAACATCCACCATGAAGATACATCCAATGCAGTAGATATACACTGAGAATTACAACAGATTTTTCACTGTTGACAAGCTTTTAAGAAAATCCACGCTGTCAACCAATTCATGTTTGACGTATCGTATGCATATACTACATCATATACAACCAGTTCAAAAAGTTTACTGTTGAAAAGTATTACAATTAGTATACAGTTTTCAATTATGGTTCTGTCATCTTTTTGATCATCTAAGTTTGCCACCTTTCCAGACAATGGGGAAACCAAATTTAGGGTGAGGTAATTTGAAAATGGTTTATAATGCTTTTGTGAAATTAATTGCACAATCATTTGGAGAAACTGTTTATACTCCATCAGACTCAATTGTCATTTCATCTCTTCAAAGCATAATTATATACTTTATTGTCAACAGATACTCAATTACAGGATAGTTTTGATAAAAAACAAAACTATTTCATGGGAAACCACAATAATAAACATAAATCAGGGCTCTGTAATATGTGGAATTCTATATATAAAACGTAAGCCATTTTGTGCAGAAAATTACAATGACATAGTGATAAAATATCTGCAAATATTTTATCAGTAGTCCAAGGTACAAGGTACTGAGTAATACAGCTCATTGTATTCTTAATTATATTTTAGGATGTGCAATGTTATAGGATCTGAAGTGAATATGCATTATATTTTAAAGTGTAATAGGCAATTGGGAATATTTCCAAATGAGGTAATTGTAGATGAATTTTCTCTGTGAAGTTTCTATTATTCATATTAGCAAATCTTCTGTTTGTAAAAAAGCAATCAATTGCTATGCAATATGTGCAACTATGTTTTTTATGACGTATTTTTCATTCACATTTTAATAAGACCTAAGATGGGTTATCAGTTCGAAGGAAAACTTAATTCAATTGAAGGTAGTGTTTTTGAAAACCCCAAACCATTTTGTATAACTATTTGAAAAGCATTTACTAGTTCATGAATTTGTAACTTCATAAACTTTCGATAAAATTTGATAATTGATCGCAGTTATCTTCATTTCAGTTACCTCCTTCCCCTCAGCAAGTGGGGATGTCATCCCCACAAGTATGCAATTCTGTTCCTTTTGAGTTTTATAACAAACCGATGAGGGTGCCCCCACCAGCAATGGTTAGCAAATTAATCCAGGTGAGTGTCAGATTTCAATTAGTAGTTCGTTTATTAATAGATTCCTAAAGCAAACGAATTGATTCTAGTGGAATTGATCTGGCAAAAATATGTTCGCAAATGAAAATTTCTGTGGTTTTGGAAAGTGTGAAATACTGTATTCAAGTCTCAGGTTGTGTATGAAATTCGCCAAGTTCAAGTGAAAACTTTAAAAGTAGGTTGTGCTTGGATAAATTGACACTTGTGCAAAAAATGAAGTCTATCAAGTCCAATTTATTAATTATGATTTCAAATTTATACATACATTGAAAAATTTACATTTGAAAAATTTGCAATGAATTGTACAAGTCCATTCTCAAAATACAAGCATTCTCAAAAAAATTATACTATTTCCGTGTTAGGAATCACACGTTAAAAGGTAAGACCTCGTTGGTCCTTAGCTCGCACAAGTTTCTACTTCTGAGGGTTGTCGTTCGTAGGAGTGCGATAGCTGGTTAACTGAAAAACATATTTTTTTAACATATTTAAACATGTGTTTTGATTAGCTATTTGTTTATTCATTTATTAGAGGCCATTAAGTAGATTCATTAATATTGTATGTTTATTCAGCAATAAAAAATGAGCTTCTTTCAGCTATCATTATTCATTGTTTGTTTCAACATTTGTTCAGTGTAAAATATCTTGTTGTCTTGATCTTTGGAATTGATTTATATTTATATAAATACATCCAACTGGTCTACTTATGGATCCCACCATGGCGCTGAGAATTGCACCATAATATTTTTTTAAATTCCTGATATTGAATTTCATTTCAGTTGACAGCTTCAGTAATATCTACAATCATAAACTTGTTACCATTCGCTTTCTTAATCTAAAGACCATCATTCGGTAAATGAAAGTTAACATTTTTGTGAATACTAATATTTATAATCTTTTATAATTTTGGCCTCTTGTGGGAAACATGCATATACTAAATTTGTATACAGGTGGTCGGCAATTACATCAAAGATATTTGACATTGTTTTGTTATTTATTCCATCAGATCCTCTTTTTCTATTATTGAAAAATAAAAATCTTTTATAGTCTGTTCACTAAACAGATGATGCAGTTGTGAAAAAGCATTCATCGACAAATTTTAGCCCTCAGCTCTTTTCTCAGAGACAAATAAATTCTGTTTCTGTCCTGTTTCTGCCCTGTTTGTGCCATCGTGTGTATGTTTTCAATTAATTTCATCTAAAATTAATAAACACAAGATGATGCTGCAATTTGCGTGTATATTCTTTCTCAATGAAATTTCTTTACATACCTGGGCGTTAAAATTCCATCTGTTCGTTGAACACACTATAGTCATACCTCGATACATTCAGCATATATGTTTCCTTTCTTTTACATCAATTGTACTGTTTGTCCACAGAGTGGAGGGCCAGCATGGGAAAATTGGAAACTCTAGGAAATACTAGTCGATTGAATTAGAAAAAGTTGCCCATTTTGGAGCTTATTTAAATGACGTTAGGAAATTCTCATCAGTTCTGGAGATGTTCTGAATGAACCGACATTAAGCCTTTTTTGTGACAATTTCATTAAAATAGGCAACTTTTCCCAGTTTATCCGACTTTGTATCTCTTATGGTTTCCGATTTTCCGTATCGGCTCTCCTCATCTTAACACACTGTTTATCTAATTGATTTGAGAATAAGAAAATATGTTGAATATGGTTTTTGGCGTTCAGTATAAAGTATATCTACTAATTTTGATCAATATTTTTTCAGACTGAGTTAACGTGTCACAGGATACAAGAGTTCGAAACGCAAGCATCCTCCGACTTAGAATTACGTAATAACAAAATAGAAGAATTAACGCGGGGCAACGAAGAATTAAGGCATCAAATATCAACCCACCAGAAATCGATTGACCAGCACAAACAACAAGTGAATAAGTGCATAGAAGTTGTGAAAAAACTGCTCAAAGAGAAAAGTTCGATAGAAAAGAAGGAGGCAAGACAAAAGTGTATGCAAAATAGGTTAAGGTTAGGACAGTTTGTGACGCAGAGGGTGGGGGCGACGTTTCAGGAAAATTGGACAGACGGGCATGCCTTCCAAGAACTGGCAAGGTAAGAACTTGGCAAATAACAATTTCTAGTGGAGAAATGACTAGCAATGTTTTTATTCAACTAGAACCTCAAAACTTACTCAGTGAATTATTCATAATACTATCTGACAGAAAATGACTGGTTTCCTTACTAGTACCAACTAGGGATTAATATTTCCTTGTTTTAAGTTTATTGCATAAATGTCATCCTTTTGCTATCAAAAAAATATTTATCGTTATATTTGAAAATTTTGAAGTGTTTTTCTGGAAAGCAATGAGATAGATCATGTCTAAAAATATCAAAGCCATCCAACTGGTACCTATTTTGGTTGTTTCAAATATTCACATAATTTGATAATTCTCCTAAAATTTCAAAGGCGTCAACTCTTGAAATAAATTATTTAGGCATCTTAGGTAGACATCACCTAAAATACTCAATAAAAATATTTTGAGTAAAAAAACATTGCAATCACTTATTTATAAGCAAAAGTTGGTTTACTTGACAGAAAGAAAAAGTCTAAAATGTTTTAAAAGTCATGAATATTGCATGATTTCGTTGTTTTTTTTTATTATTTAGATATGATAATTGTTTTAATTGGTAAGATTTATGAAAAATTAAATAGCTTGAAACCTCTCCAATGGTCCTAGTCCAGACCACCCCAACTTCTAATGAAGGAAGAGAAAAAAATCAACATTGTCCCTGAAAACTCTAAAAAAAACGTTATGTACTGGTATGCGACAAGGAGCTTATTTGAGTCCATTATTATGTAATATATTGATAACGTTTACATGTTTTTTCAATGCATATTGTTCATGTGGAATTGATCTGAATGTCTACATCAAAATTGAATTGTTAGAAATTACACTAAATAAATGAAAAATTTAGCTTCCATTCTACAACATACTCTTTCATTTCAACTACATACATCGTACAAATTCAGTTCATTCTCTCCTGTGTCACTAATATTTATGTATTTTTTTATACCCACTGGTAGTAATACTATTAACAGTATTAACTTGTGCTTAATTATGTTTGGAATACAAATGGAATAGAGAAAAGTGTTTTTCATATAATTCATTGTTCTTCCAGTTTGTGTCTGAAAGTTACTTTGCATTATCTATACATCTGTGTATGAAGTTAATTTTTGAAATTTTGCTTCCTTCCTTTCTTTGGAAGATTCCCAAATTTTTTAATTCAAGATGGAGAAGTAGAAAACCAAAACCTTTCTTTCACAAAAATTGATCTCTCCTAAAAACATACCCTTTCAACTTATATAGTTATGTTGAAATGAAGATTTCACCTAACTTTTACACAGAACATAGTGTCAGATAAATTATGTGTCGAGTAAATCACCTTATCTTAATTTTTTTTTAATTTCAGTTTGAAGAATTGCAGTGTTCAAGAATATTTGGTATATCATACTTGTTTTTTTTATACTTGAATGTCATTAAAGTTTTTTCTTTATGTCATATTTTTGGTTTGTATAAAATGTGCTGTTTACAAAATATATGTGTATATATATACACATTCAGCATCTGTCTAAGCATTTGTGAGGAAATCAGTTATTTAATTCGATTGTCCAATGTTATATTACAGTCATGATGATATACCCTGATCCAGAATTTCTGTGATGGTCACTACTTGTTTCAAGACGGGACTGATATTCTGTCAGACTCTTTCTTCAGATTGTTGCCAATTTATCACTGTTCTGAAACTTAGTCTTCTTTTCAGGCGGCAGGAAGAAATAACGGCCGAGCGAGAGGAAATAGATAGGCAGAAAAAATTGTTATTGAAGAAAAGACCTTCGAATACGGAGAGCGGCAGGAAAAGGAACAACTCGAATGCTCTGCACAATGGCACCGACTCAGGGTTCCTCAAGCCGGATGCCGTACCTGGTTCTCTGACGTTGCAGGAGTATTACGAAGCTGACGAAATACTCAAGCTGCGGCAGAACGCCTTGAAAAAGGAAGACGCCGATCTACAACTGGAGATGGAGAAGTTGGAAAGGGAGAGGAACTTGCACATCAGGGAGCTGAAACGGATCCACAACGAGGACCAAAGCAGGTTTAATAATCATCCGGTGCTCAACGAGAGGTATCTGTTGCTGATGCTGTTGGGCAAGGGTGGTTTTAGTGAGGTGCACAAGGCGTTTGATCTGAAGGAGCAGAGGTACGTTGCGTGCAAAGTGCACCAGCTGAATAAAGACTGGAAGGAAGACAAGAAGGCCAATTATATAAAGTGAGTGGTAATGTTTTACTTGTATCTTATCTTTTTGCTCCTATGTTTAGTAATAATTTACTTAGTATTAGAGTTTTCCTAGATGAAAGAAAACGGATATTCTGCATACAGTTGAATAATTTATCAAATCAAATTTTTCATGGTTATAGTTCGAAAATATTTGAAAATAATGTAACATATTTATGACGCATAGCTTTTCACAATATTCACTTATTTATTTATTGTGAAATTATTTTATAGGGTTAAAAATATATTAGAATTTATTTATGGAAAACGCGTATATCAAAGTGATTTAGTAACAAGTTAACTCAATCCGATAAAAGAAAAAAATTTTCATTGTCTACCAAGCGAAAGTCTATATAACTTCACAAAAACAAACAAAGAAATCTAGGTACTTATAGATATATGGATGTTGAAAAATCCTCGATATAAAATCGTATTGTTTTCATAACTCATTTGAACCACTCTACATTACAAATGAATAAAGCAAAATCAAAAATATTTTGGAGACTAAGATTATGTTAATCAGATTCGTGGAATTACTGCTTTCAACCTCGTGATTTGTAGTTGAAGGGAATACGTCTTGCCAGTCAACTGTATGTCTTTTAGGAAACAATTTCATTATTTCCTTCTCTGTGTGTTGTATTGAATTCTTTCATATCTCAGGAATCTCAGAATGAATGTCTCATCCCACATATTCAATCAGTCTTAGTATGCAGGAAGGCTTTGCAATTCCCCATATGAGTTTCATTGAGTTGAGCATGCGGTATGGCAGAAGAAATAAAACATATGTCCACATACTCTGCTTAATTATTTACTTATTCATATACAAATGGGGCAATCCCAATTCACTTCACAAAACATTTAAACTAATAGCATAAAGTGTCAATTGCGCAAGAATTAAATGATTCACTTGAGTTTTGAATGAGGTCGGGAGAGTGGAAAAAAAGCAATTTCATTAAAGACTTATTGCCTAATTTTAACATTCAAAAAATGAAATAACCTAATCTTACTTCATTATAATCATCTTCACATTTAATTTATAAACTTAAAAATTTATTTTAACAGTTTTACTGAGTTACAAGATTACAGTACTAAATTCTACAATGTTTTTAAAGCAGAATAAAACTTTGGTAATATAGAAGGAAATTTCACTAGATGATCTTTAAATTAAACTAATCAATTTTAGAGCTTTCTAAGATACCAAGTCTATATGTTAAAACAAAGCTTTTTATCTAGAATTTTACACAAATCCTTAAAATTCGACTTTTCTTACTAGTGCCAGCTTCATTAAACTCATAATTGGAACTAATTGGAAACTACAATATACTAAAAACAATAGAGAAACACTGGCTCATTGTAAAGTACATGCAATTAGCTAGTGTGCATCTTCAGACATTTCACAATTTTTTTTTCAATTTCAAATCGTCAGCAAAAACATTGTTTTTGTTTATTTTTAAAAATCCAAAACAAAAGAGCAAAGTGACCAATACAAAAACTGTCTGTAGTATGCCAAAAGTCTTACGAGTCTTGAATATCAGCTTTCTTCTAGGATGTAGTTGGTATTTTATCAATAACATGCTAAACTAACGAGCGTAAAAGGAATTCTCTGTATTCATTTCATAATGGTAGAGAGACTGTTATTGGTTATTGAGGAATAATAATCTATGCACATAGATCTATTGTCATTTCCAGCATGTCTATAAAATCATTAATTTCAATTGAAACTTTTTGCATTCATTGTACATAATTGTGCTACCTTTTACTTCATACTCTTATTATTTTTGTATTCTTGTAACTGAAGATCAGTTTTAAAAAAGCCATGTTTCATCTAGGAACACAAGTTTGTATAAATATCGGCCCTTTTATTTGATATATGTTCTCATTTCAGAGCAGCATTGGAAAGATCCAGTGGTCTTTTTGAATTATTTTTTTCCATATGAAACCTACCTCAATATCATGACATTTGGTGACTGGAGAATAATTTCTTGTAACTTGAAGTGGTATTTACAAACTTAATTGGAATCACTTCATCAGAGTCATCAAGAAATTCATGTCGTGGCTTCAAAAAACTGTCATTCAATTTTGAAAGACTATGTACTATCTATAAATGATAGGGCAGATATGATAAGGAATGTTATTGTTAATGTTACTGACAAGTTTAATAAATCTCTCTCAATTTCATTCAAGGGCGATGTTTTAGGGCAAGTTTAGGGAGTTTGCCCTACATATTTGATTTATGTTTATTTGTGATATAGAGTGAAAACCCAAACATATGAAGGTACACAAGTACCTTTCCAATTAACTTTCAGACAACAAGAATCAGTCTAACGAGACAGTTGAATTCCTAAAAGTTCAAGTTATAGTAATTGTATCAATTTTCTTTCACTCTTTTGAAACAAACCGTCCGAACTGCATATTTGTATGTAAAATGAAAAGGTGACTCTTGTGATTCATATTACAAAAATAGTTGGTTTTTTATTCTTTGGCTGGGATTGATGAACATAAATTTCAAATATTTTTTTTTGTTTCAGGCATGCATTGAGGGAATACAATATACATAAAGCTCTAGATCACCCACGAGTAGTCAAATTGTATGATGTTTTTGAGATAGATGCGAATTCCTTCTGTACCGTACTAGAATACTGTGATGGACATGATCTAGACTTTTACCTGAAGCAGGTGAGTAAAGTAAGGGTCGTTTTTTTTTCTTTTTATTCATCAGTCATTCATTCTCCGCTTTATCAAGTGTGTTCAAGATATTGAAGCAATGAAAAATGTTCCGTTATCCTCTGTATTTGTCAAATTTTATTATATTTTGATATCAATCTAAAAAGATCTTGCGATGATAACTGACCTTGTAAAAATAAGAATTTTAAAAGCAGTTATACATATAATTCCACTCAATTCGATCTATACTGCATACAACTTGGTTCGAACATAGTGTTAACCTTGATGTTTAATTGAATTTCAAACTATATTTTTTTGGCGATTATTCCGCAGATATGTGTACAGTAATTTTGAATTAACATTTTTATGAGACGTTTTCATTGATTCAAAAAAATTGCTTCTATTCCTTGACATATCACATCAACAAAAATGATGATAACCATGATCTGGAACTACCATGACAAGTCAAATTTGTTTCAAGACGGGACTGAACCATCTCACTGCAAACATAATCTTCTTATTAACATTTTACTCGTCTGACAATCACTTCTTTTTCGTTTCAGCACAAAATAATTCCTGAAAGGGAAGCGAGATCGATCATAATGCAGGTTGTGTCAGCTCTAAAGTACCTGAATGAGATTAAACCACCCGTGATTCACTATGACCTGAAACCCGGCAACATTTTGCTGACTGAAGGCAATGTTTGTGGAGAAATCAAAATAACAGATTTTGGGTTGAGCAAAGTGATGGATGAGGAGAATTATAACCCCGACCATGGTATGGACTTGACGTCGCAAGGCGCTGGTACATATTGGTGAGTTAACGTTTTTCATTGATCACTTATCTCTGCTCATTGAGGAAATTTTAAATTGTTTTTTTTTTCAGGTACCTTCCACCTGAATGTTTTGTAGTAGGCAAGAATCCCCCTAAAATTTCATCGAAGGTGGATGTTTGGAGTGTAGGAGTGATATTCTATCAGTGTTTGTACGGCAAAAAACCATTTGGGCACAATCAGTCTCAAGCGACAATTCTGGAAGAGAACACTATATTGAAGGCGACTGAAGTACAGTTTGCCAACAAGCCTGCAGTAACGAATGAAGCTAAGGTATATGACTTTATATATTGATATGCCGTATCAAACCAACTATGAATTTACCCTTCATTTATTCATTATATTCTGAAATTTCACACTCATTTCAAAATATCTATTTGCATATAAAAATGATAGTTGAAATCGAATATAACAAATTTTCTATTATTTGAATAAAATAAGACTGAATTTGAACTGATATTGGGCAGGAACATCTTGAAGATATAATTATCTGAACAGGAAATCATATTAGATATATAACCAGCTACATCACTATTATCATTTAAGAATAACATACTAGACATATTTTTGTTTTTTAATTCAATACCTTATACTGGGAATATGAAAACGATTCTTCATATAACTAACAGTAGGTATATTGAATCAATCAGAATTCTCAAAACTCGAGAGGGTCTAATTTTCCTCAGTCTGTTATACCATACAATCATCTTCGAAGTTTTCGAAGTTTCAAATCTGGTTTCTTCCAAACTATAACATAACCTTACTTTAAAAGGGGGAAACATGCTGACAATATTTTTTCCACTATGTTTATTAAACATTGTACTGCTTCTAGTTCTTCCAATTCATCACATCTATGTGTTGAAAGAAATATAGCTATCTATTGCCCCATCAACAATCAATTCTACCTCCTATAACTGGTTAAATCGCAATTTTTACATGTTCAGGTGCACCACACAAATTCGTATTGTGTATTACCATTAACCAATAGAAATATAATCATGAACGTAACTTAACTAAAATTCAATTCACCTTTGTCTCCGACCTCTTTGGCTGGTAGAAATATCACGATCTAGTTGTTGGATATGAAATGAATGTGATTAGGTCACCAAAAAAATACACTAATATAAAAAGGAATGTGGTTGATTCACCTGAAAAAATACAAATTGTTGGACATACCGCAATAAATGTTTACTAATAATATTTATTTTTTCAGAGTTTCATTCGAAGTTGCCTGGCTTACAGAAAGGAGGACAGAATCGACGTCCTCTCGCTGGCGAGACACGAATACCTCCAACCCCCGATGCCTAAACATTCGCGACTCACGTCGAACCAACAACAACAACAAGCGCAAGCCCAACAACAACAGTCGGCTTCGTTTTCCGCGGGTATTTTTGGCGCTATGAACGCCTCCTCATCATCTTAGTGCAGTGCTGTGTTTATTTAAGTTAACGTAAGATTTTTTGGGACGTAGTGGCAGAGAAGTACTGAAATGAACATTATTCGATGTGTATTTCAGAGCGGGGACGAAGTGATTTTTTTATTAGACTGATTCTCTTACTTTTTTTGTCGAGTGTAGACATTATGAAAAGAGTTTGAAATGGCACGTTCTAGTGCGGACTACAATTTTAAATTCCTCTTGATGCTTGTAATGGCTTCCCTTGATAGAGTATAGACACGAAAGTTTAAGGAGATTTCTTGTAAGGTCATTTTCAGTTTACGAAAATACTTTTTTTTTGTTTGCTGAATTGCCTAATCATTTCTAGACATTACAGTATAACAACTGTGAACTCGGTAGTTGACAGAGATAGTGTTCTGAGAATTAATTATTTATATCAAAACGGTGTTGATTATTGAAGCTCATTGCATCTCGTATATTATGAGGATGCTTTTGTAAAGTCTCGTTTGGAGGAAATCACTTCACTTTTTGTGTCTATAGTCGAAAAACTGCTGTCCACTTGAGAATTAAGTGCAAAACAGATAGTTGTATGTTTCCTTTTATATATAATATTATATATAGAGAACATTTAAGTTATTTTATGAAGTGACCTTGCTTTGTATCATAGTGTGATTTTGGTTCGCCGATCCTCCCATTTCTAATTACCCATTTCTCAATATTCATTATGACATAGTTGTATATGTACAGAAAACCCCGTGTTTGCCTGTCAAGAAAAAATTCAAGGGATATTTCAATTTACTAGATATGGCTTGTTGGTGACAAACTCGTTTCTTTGAGTTTGTGTTTTTAATAAGTGAGTAGCAGCTTTGAGACATTCGCCAATTGATTTTAAAACAATGTTTTTTACGATTATTTCCACTCTAGAATTCAATTTATTTTTTTTTTCAGAAATTTCATGAATATTAGTTTGACACAATTCTATATGTATGTGACGAGGAGGTTAAATGAAAACTATTTAGATGTTACATAATTGATATGAAATAGGTAGCTCATAAAACCATTGGTGACAGAAATGGTGAATCATTAAGATTTTCAGCTATTGTAAATTGAATTATACTAGCTTAGATTTTGGAAGGAAGCCATGTATGTAAATGAGGTGTCATGTATAGAAAAAATACTGTAAAAATAAATCAGATTATTATGCACTTTTTGTTTTCGGCAAAGCGTTAAATTATTCATTTGCATGCCTTCTATTTTGATGCCAAATCAGTTTTAATCTCGGTATTCAAAAGAAAATACTTAGATTCTAAGTTATATAATAATAGTAATGTGTATATAAGTGAAGGCTTAATATTTTGAATATCTTTCGAGATTAGGGCGCAAAATGTCTCAAACCATACAAGATTCAATTTTTCACTGGGCTTTTTCAAAACCGTCGCTGGATGAAGTTCTCTGTTAAGTGGGATAGGATACAGGGTGTTTCAAAATTACCTTGTAATTTTGAAAGACCAAAGTTGTGAGGAGTTCCAGCTTGTTTTGTGGACGCACAGACACAAAATAATGTAAATATCTTGTAATATTCGTGCTGCAATACAAGCAAAACATGTCCATATGGTTAAAACTCGCAATTAAAAATACATGTTACTTATTTATACTGTGCTGTTTGTGTAAAAATAGTGGTACTCGCCTACCACGGACTTTGTGATAAGAGTAGTTAAAGAAGTCATGTTCTAGGATTCAAAAAAAAATGTATCGTTATATTATTGTTTATTGTACTGTACCTATACTATTATTTTATACAATCGTTCGCAGTTTTTTCTTTGGTATATTATACCGTTGTACATACAGTGTGTATATTACTACACAGTAAAGTTTTCAAAATTAAGTTAATTTATTTCTTCTTCGATTTTACTATTAAAAAAATATAAGTTGTACTAATTTGAATACGACGTTTTACTTCAAATTCTTACAAGACCACAGTTAAAAAATAAATAGGGTTGGGTTGGATCAAAGAGCTAGTGAACAGGCACTCTGGGGCCTTGACTTCAAGACTATTTTAAATTTAGTGCTAGATGTTCATGTGGGAATGGGTGAGAATTTGCAAGAGATTTTACCACATTTTCTATAAATGCAAGGCAGTGGAATGAATGAGCTTTTCTATCCTTATTTTGACTGGAACATAGATTGCTCTTGTTTTCAATATTTAAAAAAAAAATGAATTCTTATTGATAAAATGGTGAACATTTGCGAAGTTTGTGTTAAGTCTCTAACATGGGCGTCTCCATTAATGTTCATTATGATTTGTAAAGATAGAGAAGAACCAAAACTCGTAAACAAATGTTTTATCAGAATGTGGAGAATACAGTAAATTTTAAATTTCTCAAACACTTTTATTTCTAGAGGCACTTTGCTAAACACCATGGGTTAATTGGTAAAATGAATATTACAAACTGGGGCTACAATTCTTATATCAACAGTAGGCACCTAACTTAATTGGTTAGTATTTACTACTAGACTGGTTAGTACTTACTACTAAATTAATAAGTACAAACTAATTAAGCTAGGTACCCACTGTGAAACGTGTATTTGTCTTCAGTAAACTAAATATTTGCTAATAATAGCAAGTATTCAGCTAGTAGTTGCAAATAAAATTTCTTGTAATAATTCTGAAATACAAATCATGAAATTATAAAACAACAACAAAAATTAATTGGCGCTCCTGAGCGACTTCATTAATTCCAGTGGCCCATTTGCTTTTCAGCTGCAGAAAAACCCTGAAAAATCTGTAGCATCACATCATCTCATTAAAATGTATTTAATGTTATATAATTGTATAATAACCGACAAAAAATTTATTTTGTCTCAATAAAATACAAGTATGTAATTGTTATGTAACACTCTTGCTAAAGGAAAGATTTTTTCCAAATTTTCCATTTAATTGCTTTCAACTAAAAATGCGGTTGCTATCGACAAATTAATGCCTAAATAAACAGTTAATATGGACCATACAAAATTGTCATACCATTGTCAAAAATACATAAATTATGATTTTTATATATTTTTCATTATTTTGACTCTGCTATTTTTGTGGTTATATCTTCAAAGTATTAGAATCACCAGTATTTAGTCGAGGAGTTGTTTGGATTGGGCAGTAGATATAAATTGGCATATATTTTATGTTATATTGTCTGTTACTTTCAAGGCTACTGCTTTCAAATTCATATTGATTGTTGTAATTTTAGCTTCATAGCATTTTTGACAAAATTGTCATTTCAAATCGAGAACATTTAAAATTGGTTTAGTCAATAGCAATTTGGAGAGAAGTCGCTTTCCATATCATTTAAATAATAATAATAACTTAAATAACACCAAGAAACATACATGTTTATATGTACAGGGAATTATTTAAAAAGTGGTGGCTTTTCTCCCTACGAAGACACCAACTATGATATCGACAGAAGAATCAATCCACGAATGTCAAGGACGACAAATGAGGCTCCCCAAGGTGGGGAGCAAATATTACCATCTACCATCTGTGAAACTGAGTAGTTTTGAAAATATGTTCATTTGAAGTTTTCTTCATGAAATATTACACTAACTCAATGACACTACTTTTTATTATATAGGTACTGTTCACATGTACTAAGTTAGGTTAGGTTCGAAGTGAGTGGGTCTATTTGACCCTCAACTGCAACCCCTGAGGGTTTATTGTAGCTCAGAAAGCATGCACTATCTCATTTTTTCCAGGCATTTCATTCGTTTGTTGAGTTAACTATGTTTATTTATTTATTTATTCAACGGGTAACCCCCAATTTTTATACAATATATTAACCTTAGAAAGTTAACTATTCTAGTATCTATATATCTAATAACTCAACCTACATAGAGAAAATTAAAATGAAATTGTGATAAAAAAAAGTCTTATAAATCTATACCATGTAGAGTATATCTGAGAGTGCTCTGAGAGATGTGAAAAAAATCAATATTGGTCCCATTGGCATTTGATAAAATTCCGGACAAAGGAGAATGTTTTCCATAATTACACCTATGAAAGTCGAGACTGACAGTTTGGTTGTTACGTGTTCTTCTCGGGGGAACATGCAGATTGACTTGACAGAGAAGAGTTGGGCAATTAATTTCATTCAACAATTTATGTAGGAATATTATGTCTGCATGTGCCCGTCTTATACTGAGTTTGAGCAATCCAATAGTAGAGCGAATGACTTCTAGCTGGCATGTTCATTTTGTAGGCAACATATCTATTTGTTTAAAAACAAATTAAATCTTTGAGTCAAGAAACACTTCATAGTTATATTTTCACTGAACAATTTTACAATAATGCAACATGTGTTTCGCCATACAATCGCTTCTTCGGGCGTGTCTTTAATCATAAAAAGAAATAAAAAAAAATTTCAAACCAAGTTACTTCACGACGTTCGATTGTTGTATACACAATCGTCTTCGGGTGATGACTGAACTATTCCTCTAAGAGGTGACTAATTATAGATCATTCCAGCTATATAAAAAAGTTTAAGGGTTAGTTGATAAAAATCCTTCTTCGTTCTCTCAGTTGATGGAAGTGTTTGTTTCATCAAATTTTACTCAGTGTATATTGTTGTGAAACCCACCGTACGAATTGTTTTTAATTTTGTCGCACTCTTGCCAGGTCTCATCAGTGATGCTAGGCTGAACACTGAGTTGTCCTAAAAAGAACGAGCCTAAAAGTAAAGGTGATTCTCCCCCTACAAAGACGCCATCTATGAGATCGACAAAAGACTCAATCGCCGAATATCAAGGCTTCCTAAGGCGGTCCGACAACGACTGCCGAATGAGATTCACCGTCTGTCTTTCACCCGACAGCGCTGGTAGAGACCTTGGAGAGCCTTCTTTATCACTGATATTTGGGGATTGAGTCCCATATATGGAGTTTTCATAGGGGAAAATTCCATCACCTTTACTTTTAGGCTTGTTGTTTTCAGGACAGTTCAGTGGTTCAGCCTAGCACCACTGATGAGATCTGGTAGGTGGAAACAAGGTTGTCAGGTGTTGGATCACAAATTCATTGAGTTGCCTTGCAGTGAAAAACAGAGCAAATATCGTTCGTTGGTAAATGTCGAAGCAGACCACCTTTGGGCAGCCTCGTTTATCCTCATATTCGGCGATTGATGCTTCTGTCGATATCATGCATGGTGTCTTCATAGAGGAATAAGCCACCACTTTTTCTTTTATTCCATCTATGAACATGGCTGTTACTTGCTATTATTGAAGTTATCATTATTATTTAAATGATATGGAAAGCGAATCCTCTCAAGATTGCTACTGACTAAACCAATTTGACATGTTTGCAATTTGAAAAATTTCAACTGCTGTAGACAAGATACAGCAACTCAAATTCATGAAAGTGGGGGAGTAGAAATTTTGTCAAAAATGGCTATAAAGTTAAAATTACACCAATCAATACGCATCAAGAAGCAGTAGTCATGAAAGTAACAGACAATAAAATATATGCAATTTATATCTGCCGCCCAATCAACAATTCTGCGACTAACTACTGGCGATTTAATACTTTGGGGATATAACGACACGTAAAACAGCAACATAATAATGAAAAATATAAAAATTATAATTTATGTATTTTAAATGATGGAAGCAAGACTAGATTCAATGTGCACAGAAAAATATGGTCCAAGTGAACTGTTTATTTAGCATAAATCTATCAAGAGCAACCGCATTTTCAGTTGAAAGCAATTAAATGGATGATTTGCAAAAAATCATTCTATTGGCAAGAGTGTTTGTTATATAACAACTACTTGTATTTTATTGAGAGTTATTTGACATTAAATACATTTTATGCGATATTATTTAATTTGCCACTACTATCTGAATACTTGCTTTCATCAGCAAATATTTATTTGAATGAAGACAGGTACACGTTTTTTGAAATTTTCAATACATATGCGAGTAGTGGCCTGAGGCCGTTTGATGACCTCCCACCACTTGACCTTGAATGACGTCATATGACCTTGAGTTAAGTGTCAGAGCGTAAGACCTTGAACATGTACATTGATCTTGAGAGTCTGTTCTGCCTTCGGTATGTGACCTTGAGGTTTGCCCTCGAAAAATGCCTCATTACCTTGATCTATGCAGTTCAATATGACCTTGAAAGTACGATTTGACCTTGAGATTCAACTTTGGGATTTGAGCTTGGAAGGCCTTTCTCAACCTTGAGATATGTGCATGTCATATGACCTTGAACATGTAGTTTTTAATTCGACTCCGTCATTGTCATTGAGTCGGTGTGGAATGATATTATTTTACTGAGAGTGCAGTGTACATGTTTCACTCAGTTCTCATGATCACACGAAGTGACAATCTGCGTTGTCATCAGCACGATTCCTATACGTTAGTGAATTATGGAAAAGTATAACCTCGAAGAGACAAAAATTTAAGAAAAACACCCAAACGTGTTTTCAAATGAAAATGTGTGCAATAGATGAAAAACTGTATGATATTACAAAGAGTTAAATATCAATAATTAGATGGGATGGTGGGCTTTTTTGAAATAATTTATTCACTACTAATTAAGCACGTCGTTGGTTGTCGGAAAATTTGTTGTATATATCTAGAAAAAAGATGCAAAAGCACAACGTGAAATGTCAACAGATGATACCACTTATAGATAACGAAATCTTTCGAATTCAAATCAAATGACTCCTATCAAATCCTATTTAATAATGCAGTCAATATTCAATTCCAACAGATGGCCTCACTTATAGGCAGCTATGGAGTACTTAGTTCGAACTAATAAATCAATTTCTAATAGACCGTAGGCTCACTTGAAACCCGCACATAATGAGCGGCAAATCAAAGATCGAGGGTCGGATA